CCGCACTTTAGCTCGTCCGCCCATTCGTTCACCGATCGCTACATCGCGAAAGACGACCGAACGTATCAAATTGAAATCGACCAACTTACGATAGACTTCGTATTCGATGGTCTTGAAATTGTGATTCCTCTTACATTCCTCTAGAAGTGCAATAAAACGGGGATTTTTCGAAGATCGTATTTTCAACGTTATGTACACACACTCCGAGTGTGTACGATTTTTTCACTTATCGGTTGATTTGGAATTATTTGAATTTCTTCAGCATGTACATTTTTAATACAATTAACTAAATTTTCTAATATTCTCTTTGCATTTTATCCGCAGCTCTCCGTGGAACCGGATTGCTCCAAGAAGTACCGTTCGTGTAACGAATTTAATTAATTTCGATACGAAAAAACCAAACCAATTAGTGAAATAAACTTTTTTTCTTTTGTAAGACGGTAAAAATGTAAATATTTAAACAATAATACAATGCAGTGTAGTAATAATAATAATGTAAAAACAAGTTGATAGCATTTTTGTGTATACCTTTTTAGTTGAATTTCAGATTATCCACGGGATTTATTTATTCCCAGTCGACACGTCACCATATCTGCGGACAATCGAGACATAGCTGTACAAATAATTTAAAAAATATGCGCTTTTGTCAATCTAAAATATTTGATAAAATAAAATTAAAATTAAAAATGGTTAAATGGTTAATACTCGTAAATAATATATGAATAAATAAACAAAAGTTTATAAATATAAATAAAACAATAAATGCTTAACCTGGAGTATTATTATATTTTTAAAATACTACCGGTTTCGAATAAAAACTAATCGACAGGTATAAAAAAAAGTCAAAAAAATAACGAATGAATAAAAAAAATAAAGGAATACACAGGGCCGTTTTATGCTATGCAGGGGCCCATGGGCATCTAAAGCTTAAGGGTCTTTTTAGTAAACCAATAAAAGGCGAGTAAGAATATTAAAAGCTTATTTTGTATGATGACTTTTGTGTAGTCGGAAAATAGGAGTTATTCATTTTGAAGAAAAATCTTTTTAAATAATGGAATGAAAAATAAAATATACTTAATGCAATTACACACAATTAAGCGTTCATTATTTATTTGACATTAATATTTTAACGTTGCTATTTATCTAACATTTTTTTTTCTACAATTAAGAATTATTTTTTTTATAGGCAGTCGTATTAATACGTTACAGATTAAAATTCAAAGTTATAATTTCTATTATTGGAGGCCTCCAGCCAGATGGAGGCCCTGGGCACGTACCCCGAGTGCTCATAGAGTAAACATGGAACTGGGAGTACATTATTATTATTTATTTATATTCTAAAATGTTTGCTTACATCGAAATAGTTTTTATCGAAAATTGTAAAATATCTCCTAGACTGGGCCGGGTAATTCAGCTCTATTTTTGTAAGAAGTAAGAACGCTTCGATATCTCGTACAGTATTGTGAATGTTAAAACGAGATAATCTCAAATCATAGAACATTAAATAAACACGACTAATCTCGAATTTTGCCAAATTTGAGGGGTTAGTGGATTTAAATCAACAGTGAATCAGTTGAATCAGATTGACGTTGTTATAATATTGGCTGGACGTTTAAAAGTCGTCTTTTATTCTTGTTCGTGATTTTTTAACGAAATAATGCTACGTATGAAATTCGTCTTATGCTATTAATTTTAAACGGTCGTTTATTAATCAATATTCATCAAAATCAGTAAATACATTTTTGTTCCCATCTTTGGCTTATAATTTTAAACGCACAAACACTTGCAATTAATTATGAGCCCGCGATAATAATTATATTTATTTATCAGATTATTATTCATTGTTTAGTTTATTTGGTGAAATTATTGAATTTACTAATAAAGAATATATACTAACATTTTATATGTTATTTTTTTACGGTTTTTTGTACAATATTCATTATTTATGCGTTACATTTAATTGATAATTGCTGTTTTGTAATTATTTTATATTATTTCACGGTCATAATCGATAATAACTGTAAACAATTATTGTTCGTATAGAGCAGTGTTCTAAAACCCGCGGACTGCATCCAGCCCACTCGTCTCTTTTATACGGCTCGCATTAAATTCCATAACTAGCAAATGTCATTGAATATCATATCAATTTTTCTGTATCGTTTGGCTCGTGAACTCTTTTTAATTTGTGAATGTGGCTCAATGGTCCATAAAGTTGCCAACCACTGGTATAGAAACTTGAAACCATTACATTTTTGATTAAAAATGTTCTACATATTTAGGGTTTAATGCATTCTTCGAAATATAATTATTTATACTATAAATTTACCAAATATTGTTCCATTTTTTTTTATCTTTAAATTAACAAATATACCATAATCCTTCATTTTTAAATATATATAAATATTAACCAAATGTCTTAGTCGTTCGACTTTAGGGTATTGATGTGAAATAACCGAATAATAACGGAAATTTAAGAACTTGATTTTGCTTAACGACATGTCTTGTATTAATCTAAATAACTTAAAGTTGTAAAAGAATCAGATTTGTATGGTTACGCATAGATATAGGGATTCCATGTCATAATAACTTCGAAATAATATCTCCGGTCAAAATATCTTTTGTGAAAATAACTTATGATAAAAATGTCCTTGATAAAAATATCTTTTAAACTGATTCACAATTTTTTAAAGTATGCCTATTTTATAAACCAATTGTATATTTATAAAAATCACAAATAATAAAATCATAAGCCTATCTTATCTTAGCTTTATCTTTATATGCTTATCTTTTGATGTATTATTTAATACGATAATAATATATAATGAACAATAAAAATAATGCAGAAAGAGAAAAAAAAGAAAGAAAAAATTTGTAAATAAATAAAAAATATAAAATTTAAAATATTACGTTTCTACATTAAAATATAAAATGTAGATCGAAGATACAATGATATGTAATAAGCTGATAAAAATAAAATAAAAAGATATTTTGTTCAAAGTCATTTTTGTTTAAAGATATTTTGACCGGTCACTGATAAAAGCGTGTGAAACGCTGCGACGGTTGCACGAGTGTTTCTACTGCAGCGATTCATTTATCTTCACCCGGTATAAATTATTAAATTTTCCGTAAACTCTGTTTAAAAATTGAATTCTCAAAAAGAAAAAAAAACCTCTTAGTCGATCAACAGATAATATGTATCACGTATCTATTCGAAAAAACCTTGATTGTTTATAAGATTTTTATACCTCTTTTGCGACTTGTTTGTGCGAAAAAAATAAATAAAAAGATTTTGAAATTAACCGATACAAAAGTGACTAGTACGTTCCGACGGATTGTGTTAGCACATTATAGACACACATTGTAGACCGCCGGCATTGCATCGCAGAGAAATGCAAAATGTTAAGAGGTAAACGTCGAACGTACATTTTCATCCGCAATTTTAAACACGTAGGACATTTATATTACACAAGATCGATACAGTTTCTCATTTGTCTTCACTATTATAAAGTAAATTGACATGTGACTAAATTGAAACCTAATACGCATGCCTGCAGTGTTCCTTTGTTATTTAAATTTTCAAACTATGTAAACCTTCGTTTTATGTTTGTATTTTTACGGCATTTAAGTATAGACAAATAAAAACAACGAAAAGACGCGGAAAATGTTCTTATTAAAACAGTTGCGGATATAATTGCCATGGTGAATTGGAAAATTTAATCGAACGTTAAAGATACTCGTATCGATTTTACGCAGTTCGAACGTATCAGATAAATAAAATGAGTGCAGATACGACATGAACCTGAGACCCGATGTAGTTTCTAATGCACTTTTTTGGGAGTACTAAAAACTATTATTTAATAACTTATGCATAACGAATATGAAGTTATGGAAAGCTATAACAAAGAAAAAACTTGAAATAACCATAATGAACATAATTAAAAAAATAAATAAAATATATTATTACATTTACAAGGGCCTTGAAACATTTAAAAGTTATGAAAATGTTAGTTCAGTATTTAATTTGTGATGTATTTTATGCGTTTTATTATTTATACTATTTTATAATCAAATCAAGTTCAATCATTTATGGAAGGTTACAAGTAATTATTTTGTTAAAAATTACATTTATTTATTACCATAAATATGTTCTATGACTACAGGTGAATCGTTTACTTTTAAAATGAGTCAAATCGTATAATAGTTTATTTTATTACAGCGTTTTAGAAAATTGGTTTATTTATGAATAATGCTAAGTACCGTAATTAACCTCATTCACACATAAAATTGCCAACCAAACATTTAATAATAACTGCTGTTAATTTTCCCTCGAATATTATTGGACTAAAATATTAAGCGTTGATCTTATACTCGTTTAAATTTTAAATACTGTTTAGAACAAAGATTAATTGATTCTTGTTTTATATTATATTTAAAAATAATTTAGATTATAATAATACTACTAGTGTTAATAAATGTATAATAAAAATCAAACGACTATATTGCAAACAATCTCTTTTATGATTCAGTAATTTTATTTAAAAAAAGTGTTAAGTAAATCGTTTGTTCATAAAAATGGTCAAATTCATTAAGTTTAAAATTTTACTATTGTAAAAAAAAATGATTTTGAAAAATGTGCCATATATTAACAAATTTAAATGAATATAGTCAGTGGCGTACATTCAATCTTGTTTTTTTTTTCACTGCAGAGATAAGGAACTGCTATAAATAGATATTATTTTATACAACTTTTTTTTTAACAATTTACAGTTTATATTTACATTACAGTAAATTAGTAGCCATAATAGCCATAAGAATATAAAAACAGCATAGTTAACAAAACTTTTCAAACACCTATCAATATAATTAATTAGTTCTTATAATATTTGTAGCTATTAGTTTTATATTTTAAGTTCAAAGCATAATAATGAAACTACGAATATATTGCACGTCATCAACAATATCACAATTTTTTTTTTTTTTTTTGTATGTACGCCACTAACTATAGTAAGAATAAGAATTAAAAAATGTTTGTAATATTTTTCTATTTACGTGCGGAACATTTACTATTAATTTCTCGAAAGTGACACTGTTTGGGCCAAATCTGTTTCATAAATAAATTATTTAGTCCATCTTCGAAGTATTACTAGTTTTGAGTGGGAGAAAAATTTACTAAAAAAAAATAGGTTTTGTTTATCAGTATACCTGCTACGAAATTATGCGACAGTATGCACGCTTACACCATAAAATAAATAATTACCCATGTAATGGACATATTTAAGTATTTACTGAAATGAAAACTAGTAAAAAATTATTAACTTTTGTCTTTTAACATTTTGCATTAGAAACTACGGTAAACGCAAATAATTATTCCGTGAGATACTAGTGATAAAAATCGATTCTATCCACCAAATTCTATAATTACAAATTCGAGGACTGAACCATACAGTTTTTATTCATTTATAGGTGACGGGGGTTGGGGGTTGGGGGTTGGGAATGAGTAATTGTTGGTTACAAAAGTCATGGTCATCTACCAAAAAGAATATAAAAAAAAAATACATTTTCGCGGTGTCTTACATTATATGACCGCAACCGAATAATAATACTAATAATTATAAATAATATTTAAAGTTTCGATAATAATAATATTATATTAGTATGTGTTTATCGTTTCATCGGTAGAGTTGACCGTTGCACTGCACACTGTCCCGTTGGTTTGGTCGTCGTCGACTTTTCCGTCGCCCCGAAACTGCTACACGTCGCAATATCAACATGCCAGCCCTTATCAGTTCTCCGTCCAGTTGTTTTAATATGCACACAAGGCGAAGAATGATAAGCACTGGTATGCGAAACTATTTCGTTCTGCACGCGTGCCTGAAACACGAAAACAAACAGCGTTTTAAAAATGTGAGGTAAACACGTATACATATAGGTAATTTTTTTTTTTATTTTTTTTTTCGAGTAGATAGCAATAACAAAGAGAACACCGTGATGGCGGTAATATTAGTCGAAACAGCCTTGGTCCCCTGTCAATTAGCCTGCCGTACCTGGAGCAGCGCCGTCGGGGATGGATTTGGGTACACAATCAGATATTACGTTTCGGTTCTCCGAAACGTCTCTTGGAAATACGAATATCGTGAAAACTATAGACGAACTTGTAATCAATTCGATTCAAAGACAGAAAATGTCGACGCGGTTGGTTATGAAACTCGAACGGAACAACCTCGCGATAATCACGTACGATTTTTACATATAACACTGGACGACGCTGTAAAGACTCTGTGACGATTGCGTGAAAACCGTTGCATTCCGCCATGCGAGTTCCTTTATTAGAAATTATAATGTATGCGAACACCGATTTTAGCATACGTTTAATGTTCGGGTAATGTACATAAATTACACTCGATCGCGCGCTGGCTCGTTGCATATTTTTGTCCGCGAAATTATATTTACGACCGCAAGTGCACGTATAGGTCACCGTGCGTTTTCACATAATTATATATGCTAGGGAAGGTTAGTAGGTACATATGCCGAAACGCGATTCGCATTAGCCATGTTCGTTTTCGTGACCTTTGTAAGAAATGCTTTACGCTGTAAAGGAACAAAAGCTGTTTAAGTAATGCGAATCGAATTGAATAGGTTTTTGTGCCATGTATGTACACACGCATCGTTTCATCACTGCTGAAATACAAATACGATACAACTTCAAAAACGTATATTGTCAGAGCCATTTATCTCGGGAAAATTAACGTTAACGTAACCGACTGGGAAACCAGAAAAATCAAAGTATGAAAGGTACCACCGTGTCGGGAGAGAAAAAACCCCTCTTTCCACTCTTTTCGTCCTCCCGACATTCGAGTAACGGAGGCCATATATATATATACGATCTTCGTCGATCGAATCATTTTTCTCCGTTTCTCGTCGTAAAGCGTCGGCGGCGGTGGTGTAAGGGCGATGGTCCCAACGGTAAACTCCCTTCCCGTCCACCGCCGCGTATCGTATATTATTTTATGCTATACACGCACAAAAACAGGGGGAAAGGTGGTGGAAAAAATGTGCAGCGCGTAATAAGTGTACGTGCGTACAACGATAATAAGTAATGATAATAAATACTATATGTGTGCGTGCGTGCGTACGCGTTGCCGGAGTCCGAAACGCGGAATACTAACGCGGGGAACCCACCCCAAGGGAGGAATTCGCCAAGTCGGAAAACAAGCCGAAATTGAAGGCATAATGCCGTTGTGATCATATATTAAATGTACCGCTGTGCTGCGATACGACCCGGGTAAGCACGTGCACCACCTCTATGCGACGACGACAGTGCGCTACAATATGCACGGTAACGAGCGACTCGCGCAGTGGAACCAACGGGACGGACGTCGTTCGTGTATATTATATGATATCATAATATGATTTGTTCGATCAGGACCGGCAGCAGTCACGTAGTATTAATGACTCCGGGCGGGTTCAATAATAACGAAATAACATTATACCCGTACGGATCGCCCCGGTGTAATCGCTGTGTACCTACAGGACTTCAGCCGGGGCCGAAGATTAATTTTGAAAATTGCTTTCGGACCGCACAAATGTTTAACGATAATAATCAAAATTTAGAAAAATCTATCGTCCATTGATCGTGCACAAACAGTCTAAATCACAAATCATTTATGTTACGGTGAAATAGTGTATTCATTATTTTGAACTGTTTGGTTTGAAGTTATTTTGACGCGCGCTTGACGAATCACTTGTGTATACGTACACATGTTATAGTTTACAGTTATCGCTACTTATTTGGACTTACTGGTTAATCGAATCATTCGTCAACTGTACTCAAAACACGCAGTCTCGATTTGCACGTGTACGAAGGCACGGAAAAAAAATCGTTCGTTAGTTAATGGGGTCATTAGATAATGTTAACGATTGGATTGATTTCTATAAAAAAAATCAATGGTAGATATCGCAATATAAATAAATGAGCAAATCATGCAGCGGGACGACACGCACACCGTGTGTATATACACCGTACTATTTTGGACCGCCCGTGTTACTTTTAAACGAACTGTAGAATAATACAATACGTATAGTCATGCTTGTAAAAGCGTATTTTCGCACGAGTGCGTCGCCAGGAGAAGAGGGAAAACGAAACCCACTCGCTGTATTGCAATCACATAATCGCGTAAACAAACGCTATCTTAGGCCAATGGATCGAGTACATAAGAAAAAATGAACGTTGTTACTTCGCACCTATACGACGAACATGAATAATAGCAACGGGCTGAAATCCATAACATACGTACATCGGACTTTTGCAGCAGAGCCGTATTGCCAGTGATGAAAAACCATCAGTATCGTTTCAAAAAACTCGGACGTAGAACATGTTTGCGCGGATAATAATTTACCCGGCCGTCAATTATAATAATCATTATTGTAGACGTCCGTCTTTCGCCATTGTCGCGTCCGACCTAACTGATGTATACAATGTGTAATGTGTGTATGCGCACACATCGCTTAATTACTCGCACCATGTGTTAACAACTGTCAAACACACCACTGTTGTTTTTGTTTTTGCGGGGTCGACGCTCCCACGTCGTCGTCATCATCATCGCTGTCGCCATAAGGTTGTTCAATTTGTTCGTAGGAATTTATTATTGTTTTAATGACGTTTTTATTCGATTAACCTTCAAAAAGTTTACGTATAAATATTTATATATATATATATATATATATATATAACAGATATATAATTAAGATATTTCTTTTTTATATACATTATTTTTCATTTGAGGAGTATTGTTGTTTAAAATTCATTTGACAGCGATATAATATTTTATTTTCAGTGTACACGAAAAAGGAAATGGAAAAAAATTTAAAAGAATATTAAGACTATGGCATACTGTCAACGAGAAAAAAAAAATCCCGTCTGCGAACGCCGTTGTACTATAATACAATAATATTAATATATTCGGTCGCGTACAGCAGACAGCGCAGTGTCACACGCTTATGTATGAAAAAAATGATTTTGGTTTAGTTTTTATCAAATTAAACACGTTCGAACTAGCAATAAATAATAACCACACAAACGCGGTTATATGGAGTGCATTATCTGAAACCGTCGTACAACAGTATTACGTACAGATCACACGCGTACATGCGTTTCAATAAAATATCATACAGTGCAATGAACAAATCATTGGCGGCGACGTCGCGAACAATATACTATACAAGATACGCGAACGCGTATATTGAAATTGAATCGAAAGTTTTAAGCCATACGGAATTCGTAGCGCATCGAACGCTATCTGACCTATCGGACCGTCCACTTCTCGACAACTGCGTTCGTAATACGTGTGTACGTGGATGAAAAAAAAAACATGTACAACATTTTAATCGGTGGCGATAAAACGTGCGTGCGTCGTGGTACAGTAAAATGTATGGCAGCTACCTAATACAATATACTATAAACCGTTTCGAAAAAAGCAAAATTCATTTAAAACCACGCGATTGTGAACAACTAGTGCGACACTCTAATACGATCCAAAGTCATAATGCCGAATGAATAGTCTATAGCGGTGGATTATGAAAATAAGACACGCGGAACGTTAAAAAAATAAATCGAACTTTGCCGCTACTTCAAGGAGAATACTGTAGTAGTGCACTCGTATACTCTTGTTTTATATATCCGACAAAAAAAAAAACCGACTTCACGTGTTTATAATAAATATTTCGGACATTTGAACACCGACTTCTGCGAAAACCTCCTGCACCATTGTGATTTCGAATGTCGTTTTTATACTTCTGCACCCGTGGCACGCACGTATTATAATATATCCATCTCGGAGCGCTTACGAAGCTATAATATTCATTATTCACTTCGCTAGATCATATCATTACACACCGCACAGCTTCGAATAACGTTATAATATTGTGTATTCGACGTTCCACCCCGAAATCGAACAATAAACCAACAACATCTGTCGTGTGTACGATTTCAGTCGCTCCGATCGTCGTTCATAAGGGTGAGTCCGAGCCCTGCACTGCGCACAATGGCGACACCGAACGAGACGGCTTCCCGTTTACAACGATCCATTGGACTGAATAATATAATATATATGTACGTATATAATAATTATTGATAAAAACGACTTTCTTAAATTCTTTGGTACGGAACACCATTGACAACGCCGGCATACCGTAAAACCCCATTTTTTTTATTTATCTCTTAAACTGTTATTTATTTATTTTTTGTTGAACATAATACGAGTATTACATTAATTCTAGTGTTCGATAATTATTTTTATTTTAATTCACTATTGTCGTTATTATTTAATCATTATTATTTGAATCGTTGATTTTTCTATCTGAACAACAATAAACATTCTTTCATTTTAGTTAAATTCTAATCGAAATGATAGTTTTCATCGGAAATTTTTAAATGGTTTTTTTTTTTTTTTTATACAGTTCATGGATGACCGAATTCAATTTCCTTTTTTCTCGAACGTAATAATTAAAACGTAAAGGCAAAAATAATTAAAAAATAAAAACCCGTGGCAAACTAGTTGTAATGAAAACAACACTGCCGTCATCGTCTCCCTTCTAAATCTTTTGCACTCGATTTCAAAACGAATAACGTCGAGTTCCCCAACCCTAAAAACAAAACTACCCTACATCGGGGTTGATTTCATATCCGTTATTTAATCTTGATGACGTCGTACAACTTTTAGTTTCAAAATTCAATTACCAACAGACATTAAAAGTTTGGAAAATTACCTTATGTTGTGTATTGCAATTTACACAAATTAAAAGTTACACGATTATGATATGGGACGTGTTTAAATCACCTGTTAATGGTAACTTTGTAAGCGAAATTTCCATTC